ACTTATCTGGGCATACAAATAGGGAGAGACCCTGCATCACTTTATCGACTTCATTTTCCCCTGATTGTTTACAAAATCATCCGAGAACTGGAGGCTTGGACCTCCCTCCCCATTTCACTCTTTGGTATATGTCATCTTTATAAAATGGTATCCTTTGCTAGACTACTATACCCTTTGCAAACACTACCTTTATTGCTCAAACATAAAGATATTCAGGCTCTCCACAAATCCCTGCTAAAGTTTCTATGGTGATCCAAGCGCTCCCGCATTGTCCTCCACAAGCTATATCTTCCGAAGAGCGAAGGGGGAATGGGTCTACCCAATATACGCCTTTACAATCTGGCCTGTCTTCTTAGGCAGGGGAAAGACTGGTTGATTCATAAGTCCATATATTCCAACTACACCCTGGAGACAGCCCTGTTGCACCCCTTTACTTTGTCTGCGATTATACACGCACCACTTAAAATGTTACCCACCCGTTTGAAACATAACTCATCCAAGACACTGTGATAGCATGGCGGGAAATATGCAAATTGACTGGTGTTCCCTCCAACATCTCTAAACACCTAACTGGGAAATCCACAGTTCCCTCTGGGAATGACCCATGAAGCCTTCATTAACTTGTCCTCCAAAGGATTAATGGATATTGTATCCTACTTGATCATAGGTCAGGCACTCTTCGCTCATTCATAGAGGATATCCCAAAAGTTTCATCTACACCCACATCACATTTTTTATTATTTTCAGCTGGCAAACTTCATCAAATCTCTAAGGGGGGACAGATAGACTACCCAGGATTTGACAAGTAAAACAGAATCATACTCTATCTCATCAACTCATTATGCCCCACAATTCTTCACCAGGGAATCCCTATTTAAGAGCTGGAGGCCTTAGATACTACCATCATTTTGGAGGGTTACAATACGATTAAACTCATTATCAATGAACAATGGAGGGAGGCCTAGTTTAAACTTAATGATAGGACGTTCATAGCTATGATGGTTGCCTCTACCCCATCCTTAGCTGTCTGTTCTTGGCGTGGTGTCCCTAAACTCACCCTCTTCCATCAGTTCCGGACGTGCAAACCTATTCAGGCTTACTGGAACCAAATTATCCACTACAGTATATACTTGGAATCACAAACACCTAATGACCCGCTTATCAGTCTATTCATTGTTACTACATCCATGGCCACAAACACCCCCTATGCAGGAAAGTCGATGTTCTTGCCCCATGGATACATTTGTGTCTTTTAACTGCCAGGAGAGTCATATTAAGGGCCTGGATCTCCCTGCAAAGTCCAACATTAGCCTCTGTCAAGAAAGACCTGAAATCACTCTTGTACTTGGAAACATTTTTTCAGATGTTGGAGGGCATTTATTGAACATACCTTTTCGCCAAATGAAATCCGACACCTTATGACCACAATTCAATGTACTGCTTGGTATGCCAAGTCCAATCTGGCTAACATCCTGGGCATACTTAGAGTACCTGACTCCTGCTCTAGGGAATAACCCCCCACACCCCAAGGGGATACTCACTACATCCATCTGGTAAAAAGTTTAGATTATGTCAGGGACTGACCTCCCACCTGTTAAGAGGCCTCAATACTCACTTTCACCTATCTGCCAGGCTATATCTTAAGGTCCAACCTGAACACAATATAGAGGTCTATACGGCATTTGTCCCCTGTGTGAAATTGTTATGTTCATCGCTATTAAGTTGAGTCTCAATCAGGGGCACTGCCCGAGGGCCCAGGGTCAGTAGGGGGCCCCATGAGATGCCCCTGGTACCTTTTTCATAGGCTTTTTTGAGTTTGGGCAAGGACACAGGGGCCCCATGATCCCCTATTGCAAGGGGGCCCATGAGTTGTCAGTCCGCCCCTGGTCTCAATTATGTATACTTAGCATGGACGTGGGGTTTCAAATACAGAAATCCTACATTGTCAACATATTTTTATTGAACCCTAGCTATGAAATCAGGGAGCAGAGGCCAGTCAGACCGTAACATGTTACATCCTGAATCTGAGTGTAACATGTAACATGTTACGAAAGGTGAACTTATCCTTTAGACTTTAAGGTATATTTTTGATAGAGTGATAGAGTAGGGGTAGGGTTTACTATTTTGGCAGCTTTGTCTCATTAGAGAGATTTCCCTTCACTACATGCCCTGCAGACTCCATAGGAAGTGAGAAGATATCTTTCCAATATGAGGAGGCAGCTGTCATTGGAACAATTTTCCCAATTGAAGATGTCCCTTTTATTTCTGTTCTGTTGCTAGCTCAAAATTTTGGATTTACTCTTACTTTCATTTCTGGAGATATTAATTATCAGGACATTTAGAGAAAGTGAATCGGGACACAAACAGAGAAAAAAAAGGTCAGTAGTTCTAACCTCCTCCATACATATTTAAAAAATATATATATTTCTTAGAAAACCTTTGTTATATTTCACAAACAGAAATTGTTTGCATGTGTTTTTTGTTTAATTTGTATTACTGGTTTGCTGTTAGGCATGTGTATTTTTTTTGCTGTTTGGGGTGAAGGCATGGATGTAGCGGTACATATGGTATTTTTTTGGGGGAAGGATTGGGGCAGAGAGTGTCTGTCGCCCTGGATTTTTGGATTAAATATTTAAATTTTTTTGCTAGAGAGAGCCCACAATTTAGGCTCACCTACTATATCTTTGCTATTTCCTTTTTAAAATATACTATTTAGAATATGAGAAAAAGGGTTTGCTCAGAGCTATGGAAATGTGGTACATATGGATTTTTAAAATTTTCTGTCAATGTTAATTATCCAGAACAAGCTAAATTGCATTTCTAACTATTATTGTGCCTTTAAGCATTTATAGCAGAATTCTACTACTAACTATGCCTAGAAATGTTCCCTCCCCCCTTCTGCTTCCTATCCTGTATAGCTATAACAAAATCTGTATACTTACCTATTTTTTGTCAACAGCTGATTTCAGTCAGTGAGCAGTGGCTATGAGGGAGACAAGGGATCACTGACAATGGCTGGGACATGGAAGCCTGAGGATGGGTAAGCAGAACTGGACAGTATAATCAAGATGCAGGTTATTGAACCAGAGTTTTTTTTTAAAGCTGTAGAATTATAGTTTTTCTCTTTTGAGTAAAACATTTTAATGCATGTCTAATAGTCTGATGGCCTTGCTTATTGCAAATGGGCATTGCATGACATTGCTGAGTTTGTCATCTATTGGATCCTTTTCCCTTCTCAATTATCCCAGAGGTTCTCCCGCAGCATGTAACTTGCATTTATATCTTTAGTCCCCAATTCTATTACTTTACAATCATCATAGTTACATAGTTAGTCTGGCTGAAAAAAAAAAAACAAAAGTCCATCCAGTTCAACCATAGTAAAAAAAAAAGTTATAATCCTATACCCACAGTTGATCCAGAGGAAGGCAAAGAAAACCCCCCAGCAAAGCATGATCTAATTTGCTCCTGCTGGGAAAAAAAAATTCCTTTCTGATCCCCCGAGAGGCAATCGGATATTCCCTGGATCAATGTTACCTATAAATGTTAGTATCCAGTTATATTCTGTGTATCTAAGAAACAATCCAGGCCTTTTTTGAAGCAATCTACTGAGCTGGCCAGAACCAGCGAGGGAGTCTATTCCACATTTTCACAGCTCTCACTGTGAAGAAACCTTTCCATGTTTGGAGATTAAATTTATTTTCCTCCAGATGTAAACAGTGCCCCCTTGTCCTCTGTGACCTCAGGGTGAATAGCTCTACACCGAGTTCACTATATGAACCACTGCTGTATTTATACATGTTGATCATAGCCCCCCTTAATCTCCTCTTCTCAAGAGAGAATAAATTCAGTTCCTCTAATCTTTCCTCATAGCTGATCTCCTCCATGCCTCGTATCAGTTTGGTTGCCCTTCTCTGTACTTTCTCCAGTTCCCCAATGTTCTTTTTGTGAATTGGTGCCCAAAACTGAACTGCATATTCCAGATGAGATCTTACTAATGATTTGTACAGGGGTAAAATGATATCTCTCTCTGGAGTCTATACCTCTTTTAATACAAGAGAGGATTTTGCTCACTTTAGAAACCGCAGCAGCTTGGCATTGTATGCCATTATTAAGCTTGTGATCTACCAGAACTCCCAGATCCTTCTCCACCATTGATTTCCCCAGTTGTACCCCCCTAGTATGTATGATGCAATTGATGTAGATCAATATTAAAGTATACACCATGTTTCAAAAAGTATTTGGACACTTGCACATAAACTTTATTGGCATCCCAGTCTTAGTCTGTAGGGTTCAATACTGAGTTGGCCTTTTGCAGCTATAACAACTTCAACTCTTCTGTGAAGGCTGTCCACAAGGTTTAGGAGTGTATCTATGGGAATGTTTGACTATTTTTCCAGAAGCGCATTTATCCGATCAATCACTGATGTCGGACGAGAAGGCTTGGCTCGCAGTCTCCACTCTAATTCATCCCAAAGGTGTTCCATCAGGTTGAGGTCAGGACTCTGTGCAGGCCAGTCAAGTTCTTCCACCCCAACTTGCTCGTCCATGTCTTTATGGACCTTTCTCTGTGCACTCTAGAAATTCTGAAGGACCCTCTACACACTGATATATACCCTTTCAAGCAAACTATGCAATAAATAGGGATATTTAGTTCACACATATTGCAATACATGCTTAAGCTGGCCAACTGCATCAAAGTAATCCCTCTATGGCCAGTCCTACTCTGCCCTGCCTACGCAAGTGCTACTGTGGACACAATGCTAGCATAGGGGAAAAGACACAATGGGGAGAGCTACAAGGTTCAGGTCTGGCTACTGACCCAACAATACAACAAACAAGAGATCCTGTGCTCAAATCCATACAGCTAGTGCATGCATTTATCCATCAGGTGCTAAAGGGGTGTAACCACATATTAACTCTAGAAATTCTCTGTGCACTGGTGCACAGTCATCTTGGAACAGGCAGGAGCCATCCCCAAACTGTTCCCACAAAGCTAGGAGCATGAAATTGTCCAAAATGTCTTGGTATGCTGATGCATTAAGAGTTCCTTTCACTGGAACTAAGGGGCCAAGCCTAACCACTGAAAAACAACCCCACACCATAATCCCCCCTCCACCAACTTTACACTTGGCACAATGCAGTCAGGCAAGTACCGTTCTCCTGGCAACCACCAGATACATCCATCAGATTGCCAGAAAGAGAAGCATTATTTGTCATTCAAGAGAACATGTCTCCACTGCTCTAGAGTACAGTGGCAGCATCCTTTACACCACTGCATTCAACGCTTTGCATTGCACTTGGTGATGTAAAGCTTGGATGCAGCTGCTCAGCCATGGGAACCCATTCCATGAAGCTGTCTCTAAACACACTGCAGTTGTGCTAATCTGACGGCCACATGAAGTTTGGAGGTCTGCACACTGTGCACTTCAGCATTGACTGACCTTGCTTTGTCATTTTACGTGGCCTACCACTTCATAGCTGAGTTGCTGTTGTTCCCAGTTGCTTTCACTTTATTATACTACCACTAACAGCTGACCATGGAATATTTAATAGCAAGGAAATTTCATGGATGGACTTATTGCACAGGTGGCAGCCTATCACAGTACCACGCTTGAATTCACTATTCTCCTGAGAGTGACCCATTCTTTCACAAATGTTTGTAGAAGCAGCCTGCATGCCTAGGGGCTTGATTTTATGCACCTGTGGCCATGGAGGTTATTGGAACATCTGAATCAAATGATTTGGAGGGGTGTCCCAATATTTTTGCAATATAGGGTATATGAACCCTTACCTTGTAAAACAACACATTTAGTTTAAAATAAAAATTAAAGGCAAAACATTATATATATATATATATATATATATATTACTGTATATACAGTACTTTTTGTTATTAGTGATCATACAACCTCTGTTCCCAGCTGTAAAAGGGGATTAGAGAGCTGGGGGTGGAGAAATAGCAGTACACTGATCTTGCCAGTGAATGGCTGTGTGAAGGCAAGTCAGAACCAGTCTTGGCCATTGAAGGACAGGCAGACTGTGCACCCAGACAGAAAACTGACCATGCTGAGATGGATGTGCTTCCATGCCTAATGTGGTCAGTTTAAAGTAGGAAAGCTAGGGGGACTGGCAGGATCACCAGATATTTCATACAAAGGAAGCAATACAAAGAAAATAGGATTCTTTTTACTGCAAGTACATGGTACAACAAACACATATCAGGAATATGAAATGTTGGGGTAACATATTCTTCAAACTTAATTTGCCATGTGGTTGCCATGTAGTTGCTCACCTCTTTATTTTTTGAGGTTGACCTGTAAAGTTGCTATATCCTGTTGTGAGGTATTAACCTGCTTAGGTCTGTATTGTCCTCAAACACTGAGACTGAACTGTTTATACCTACCTCTATGTCTTTTATGAACAAGTTAAACAGAATTGGTCCCAAGACAGAGTCTTTGGGTACCCAACTTACAACTCCAGACTATTCAGAAAATACACTATTTATCAATGTGGGGTCCCTTTCAATCCATACCAGGCCCTTTGGGTCTGCTTTGGTTTTTAAGGGGAACCCCATGCCAAAATTTAAAAAAATGTTGTTGTGGGTCCCCTCAAAATACATACCAGACTGTAATCTGAGCATGCAGCCCAGCAGACCAGGAAAAGGGGGGGGGGGGGTGAGCAAGCGACCCCCCCCCCGAACCAACATGGGGGGTGTTTGGGTCTAGTATGGATTTTAAGGGGACACCATGCCATTTAAAAAAAAATTGGTGTGGGGTGACCCTAAAATAAATACCGGACCTGAGGAGCCTGGTATGGATTGGGGGGAGCCTTACGCTGTTTTTTTTTTTTTTAATTTAACCCAGCATTTGTTTTGTTCACATTCTGCTGACAGCGGAGAATCCCACTAACAGCAGATTAGTCATGGTTGTTAAGGACGCTCTGAACGGCAACTCCTTAACAACCATCACAATTCCAAAATGAAACATGTGCCTAAGATACAAAACTAATTCCAAAAACTAATCGGCCCATTAACAAATGCATCCAGAAACAAATTCTTCACTTAATGAATGGACCCAAAAATGGGTACATACACTATTGTCAATGTCAATAGACCTCAGTTCATAAATTAATGGGGTACTGTATCAAAAGCTTTGGGAAAACTGGATACACTACATCTACAGGCCTTCCTTTATCCAGATTATATCATACTTCCTCACAGAATGTTAATAGGTTGGTCTGGCAAGAACAATCCTTCATAAATCCATGGTAGTTACTACTAATGATACTATATTCATCAGTAAATTTTTGGATATAGTTCTTTATCATCACCTTTAATAGTGTGCATACTATTGGTGTTAGGCTGCCTAGCCTGTAGTTTCCAGTTACAGTGGGGATTGAAAGTTTGGGCACCAAAGCTAACAATTTGTATTAATGTGCATAAAGAAGCCAAGGAAAGATGGAAAAATCTCCAAAAGGCATCAAATTACAGATTAGACATTCTTATAATATGTCAACAAAAGTTCGATTTTTAAAAAGTTAGATAGGGTTAATATCTTGTATTGCCCCCTTTGGCAAGTATCACAGCTTGTAAACGCTTTTTGTAGCCAGCCAATAGTCTTTCAATTCTTGTTTGAGGTATCTTTGCCCATTCTTCCTTACAAAAGTCTTCCAGTTCTTTGAGATTTCTGGGCTGTCTGTCACGCACTGCTCTTTTAAGGTCTATCCATAGATGAAGGCCATTTCAATTATGTTTTGAGGTGTGTTTAGGATCATTATCCATTTGTAGAAGCCATCCTCTCTTTAACTTCAGCTTTTTCACAGATGGCATCAAGTTACCATCCAAAATTTGCTGAAATTTTATTGAATCCATTTTTCCTTCTACTCGTGAGATGTTCCCTGTGCCACTGGCTGCAACACAACCCCAAAGCATGATTGATCCAACCGCATGCTTAACAGTTGGACAGAGGTTCTTTTCATTAAATTCTGTGCCCCTTCTTCTCCAAACATACCTTTGCTCATTCCGGCAAAAAAGTTCAATTTTAACCTCATCGGTCCACAGAACATGTTTCCAAAATGCATCAGGCTTGTCTATATGTTCATTTGCAAAGTTCAAACGATGATTTTTTGTGGTGAGGACATAGAGGAGGTTTTCTTCTGATGACTCTTCCATGAAGACCATATTTGTACAAGTATCTCTTTATAGTGGAATAGTGTACCACAACTCCAGTGTCTGCCAGATCTTTCTGGAGGGATCGTGCAGTCAAATGTGGGTTTTGAAATGTTTTTCTCACAATCCTGCGAGCTGTTCTGTCTGATATTTTTCTTGTCTTCCAGATCTTGCTTTAACTTCCACTGTTCCTGATGACTGCCATTTCTTAATTACATTCCGAACAGAGGATATTGACATCTGAAAACACTTTGCTATCTTCTTATAGCCTTCTCCTGCTTTGTGAGCGTCAACTATTTTCAGTTTCAGTTTTCTAGACAACTGCTTAGAAGAACCCATGGTGCTGATTGTTGGGGCAAGGTCAGATGTGTCTGGGCATTTAAAACCTTTGAGATTGACATCACCTGGTCTGCCCAGATGATGATTGAGAACAATCCATGACACTGGGAGGTCTCAGCTTTGCAAAGGGGGCAGTGCATGCTATAAATTCTGCAGGGTGCCCAAACTTTTGCAGACGTCATTTTTTTTGTTTTCTGTTATTTTGAAAGTATAAATGATGGAAATAAAATCTAACTTTTGTTGACATATTATAAGAATGTCTAATCTGTAATTTGATGCCTTTTGGAGATTTTTCCATCTTTCCTTGGCTTCTTTATGCACATTAATACAAATTTTTAGCTGGGGTGCCCAAATTTTCGATCCCCACTGTATGTATCTTGGCCCTGTTTTGAATAATGGTACCACGTTAGCTTTTTCGCCAATTAACTGATACCAGTAAGCTGTCCTTAAAGATTAGGAGCAATGACCTGAGTAATATTTATATCCTTTTGCAAACTGCTATGTAAATTCCAATAGATGTGCCTATGTACCATAAAAAGTATACAATGCATGACATATACAAAAAGAAAAGAAAATTATATCATATATAAAAAGAAAAGAAAAAATACCACCAGCTGTGCACCACTTATGACTTTCATATGCATAAGTACAAACATGATATCCTAAATAGTTCTGCACTAAAACTGTTAGATTTAGGTCTATATTAAGCCCCCGAGGAGTTAAAGTGCCTAATTCAAAAACCCATTTAGTTTTGTTGTCCAAAATTTCCTTTTTCAGATTGGAGCCTCTCCAATGTTGTTCCGTAAGATCAATACTATAGAAGGTTAAACCACATGGATCTTTGTTTTGTGCTACTCTGAAATGATTGAGAAACTTTGTTTAATATTATATATATATGTTCTCCAATACGTACACATAATTTCTGAGTGGTGCGTCAAACATAGCACCACCTGGAAATTATATGTAGTTATGTATACTCATTAAAATTGTAAAACGTTTGGTTATGGTGAAACACTTGGGGGGGGGGGGGGTGGAGTAGATATTTGTATGTTTCATTTGTTTTTTTTTTTGCATATGTATATTGAATTTGTGTTATTTAAATATAGATATGATTTGCTGTGTATAGATACGGTTTGCTGAGTATATATTTATGGGGGTGGGATTGTGGGTTATGTTTGTTTACCTATGCATATAACATTTCTTGATATAATGTTGATTATTGATATGGTTTGCTGTGAATAATTATTTTTCCTTTATTGTTTTTCTGTTATTGGCAGCACCATAACACAAAAAAAAATGGCCTGGTCAGGAAGGGGGGTAAATCCACAGGAGGGCAAGTGGTTAAAATAGCACAGTGCCTAAAAGCAAAACTGTCTGGTCATGAAGGGCATAAAATGTTCTGGAGCTCAAGTGGTTAAAGACATTTTAAAACAAAAAAAATCAGCAAATACACAAAATACAAAATGCCCTTGAAATAACAGGAAGGTGTGCAACTTTGTCACAGAGATATGTTTCTCATTAATTTCTAACAAGCATGTATAAAGCAATAGTAGAGAAGCATTGAGAGAAGAAAGTTAGAGTACTTCAGAGCAACATTTTTTTTTTGGCAGAGGTCAACAGTTCTTTTTTTGTTTCTTCATTACAATTAATATAGAATACACAAAAAGCAAAGGAATATTTAACTTTTAACAAAGAGTAGTCATGAAAAACAACATCTCTCATTTTTCTCTATTCTAGCATTTGCTGTTACTGCTCTAGGGGGATTTTACTTTTTTATTTGCTTGTGCATTGATGGTCTATTTAAGATGTTCTGAAGATAAAAAGCCAAGTTTATCCATTTTAATATGCTAGCCTGAGTCAGCACATGCAGCTTTTCTTTTTACTTTTTTATGTTTGTATAGTTAAGCACAAGAAAGCATTCTCAGGACAGAAAAAGTTATGAAAGTTTTAATCTAAAAAAACCCACATATTTATACAGTTTTTCTGAGAATATTCAAATAAATAATGGGAAAGCCGTGTCAAGGCCAATTTTCAGCTTTCAGTGCTGTTGCGCTTTGAATGACAATTGCGCAGTCATGCAACACTGTACCCATATTAAATGTGTTTATCATTTTTTTCACACAAATTGAACTTTCTTTTGGTGGAATTTTATCACATCTGGGTGTTTTAT